AAAAAAAGGCCACAAAACAGACAGAAGATATTAGAAACACCAATCAAGCAGAACACAGCAAACTCCAAGACCAATAAACACAGACCAAGACTCCCATCCAATCAGGATGAAGAAAAAACCATTCTGGCACAGCAGTAGGCTAGCCCCAAATTTAAAACTGAAACGGCTGTGAAAGTCTGACTCACAGCCGAACACAATACAGAAGCCTGATGATGGCAGATGAGATTCTACCGAAACGTTGCTACAACTTTAAAAGCACAACTATAATGACGTGGGAAAATACCCGAACAAAGCTGAATACCATACATGTAAGTACCCGCGAAAACTTAAGAAAACATATATATATATATATTTGCACATTCCTAAGATATTTCCCTACAAGTTTTAAATTAAACACCAATATATACTCCATGTGGTATCCTCCTTATAGAATCCCTAACCCTTATCTCTAAATTTTTTGGCTTTATTATTTATTTTAATTTTAACTAACTTTCTCTTTTCTAAATTTCCCTGGTCTTTCTTTCCTTCTAATATTTCACCCATCTTCTCTCCTCCCCTTTCCCGTTCTCTTTTTTGAAGTTTCTTCTTGTATGACTTCTTCTTCTTTTGTTTAATCCTGGGAGCGTTTTCTCTTTTATTTGTTAAGTCTGTCATCAATATCATAATTTTAATTCCTTTAATGTCTTTTGGCAATGTCTCTTGTTCTCCATGTCTGTCTGAGCCTCTTTCTTCTTCCTTTAGCTCCGCCTCATTGGAATTTCTTTGTCCTTCAACCATTGCCATTATTATCTTTTCCAGTATTTCCAATGATTCCCTTCTTTCTTTCAACATTCCTTTTACCATTTGTAATTCCAACTTGAAGTCTTAGCTTATTTCTTCCATTTTTATGATAAATTATTAATATTCAAAGTCTTTTATTGCAATCCTTGCCTAAAGTCTCCTTTTACCGTTATTTCTTTTGTTAATCCTTCTGTCTCTTTGTCACCATCAACACCCAACAGTCCCAGGAAGTTGCATTTGTATATCCTCTTGGTATCTGAATGTTGATACTGCCATGGCCCTAAGTATGAAAAAGGATCATACGTCACTTTTTTCAATGACGTAACTTTGAATGGTCTCTAAATGAATGGTTGTAAGTCAAGGACTACCAGTATATTGGAATGGTTACTGCCTTTGCAATACTACATTCTAACCACTGGCCCCCTGGACTCCTATCTTTCTGTAATATATCAAATTGGACACAATAAGAATGGTTTTGATGCCTTAGGAATATCCTTATATTTATATAATATTTTTGTATAAATATTTATACAGAAACTAGTTACATTTAGTTTCTTACTATACTTTCAGAAAACTCTTGTTGAAATCCTAATTCTCATTTACTGATTCATTGATTTTTGCAGGCAAATACTCTTGTGTCTGAGCATTTCTTCTGGTTGAGTCTCTCGTATCTAAATAAACTTGACTCTTTGACTGAAATTAATCCAGCAAGCTGAAAACAAGCAATGTATATTCTTATGAATTATTGAATTTTTTATTTGACCCCATCAAGCTTTCCTTCCAATCAGAAAGCTAATGGCTTTACTCCTGTACGAGTCCTCATTTTTAACAATAGTAAAGAGTTGTGAGTGAAACACTGACCACAGTTTGGACATCTGAATGGCTTCTGATCTGTGTGTAAACTGACATGAATTATTAGATAAGACCTACAGTACCTGTGAAAGCTTTCTGACAATTGGAACATTCAAAGGGCTCCTCTTCTGTGTCAGTTCCCTATTGTTCCACCAGGTGGGAATTCCAACTGAAACTTTTTCCACAATCCAAGCACTCATCCTGTATGAATCCTCTGATGTCTCACCAGGTCAGAATTCCAACTGAAAGCTTTCCCACAATTGGGCACTTATAGGGTTTCTCTCCTGTGAGAACTCATGTGTGTCACTAAGGCAGAATTACGACTGAAACTTTTCCAACAATCTGAACATTCAAATGGTTTCTCTCCTGTGTGCGTTCTCTGGTGTATCACCAGGTCGGAATTTTGACGAAAACTTTTCCCACAATCCAAACACTCATACGGTTTCTCCCCAGTGTGAGTCCTCTGGTGTATCACCAGGTTAGAGTTCTGACTGAAACTTTTCCCACAATCCGGACACTCATAGGGTTTCTCACCTGTGTGAGTCCTGTGGTGTTGCACAAGGCTGGATTTATTAGTGAAACCTTTCCCACAATCCGAACACTCATATGGTTTCTCCCCAGTGTGAGTCCTCTGGTGTATCACCAGGGAAGAGTTCTGATAGAAACTTTTCCCACACTCTAGACACTCATACGGTTTTTGTCCTGTGTGAATCCTCTGGTGTCTGACCAGATTGTAATTTTGACGAAAACTTTTCCCACAATCTGGACACTCATATGGTTTCTCGTCCATGTGAGTCCTCTGATGTTGCACAAGGCTGGATTTATTAGTGAAACTTTTCCCACAATCCGAACACTCATACGGTTTCTCCCCAGTGTGAGTCCTCTGGTGTATCACCAGGCAAGAGTTCTGACGGAAACTTTTCCCACACTCTGGACACTCGTATTGTTTCTGTCCTGTGGGAATCCTCTGGTGTATGACCAGATAGGAATTCTGCTGGAAATTTTCCCCACAATTCGGATATTCATATGGTTTCTCACCCATGTGAGTCCTCTGATGTATCACCAGGCAAGAGTTCTGACTGAAACTTTTCCCACAGTATAGACACTCATATGGTTTCTCGCCCGTGTGAGTCCTCTGGTGTTGCACAAGGCTGGAATTATTACTGAAACTTTTCCCACAATCCAAACACTGATACGGTTTCTCCCCAGTGTGAGTCCTCTGGTGTATCACCAGGTTAGAGTTCTGACTGAAACTTTTCCCACAATCTGGACACTCATATGGTTTCTCGCCCGTGTGAGTCCTCTGGTGTTGCACAAGGTTAGATTTATTATTGAAACTTTTCCCACAATCCAAACACTCATATGGTTTCTCCCCAGTGTGAGTCCTCTGGTGTATCACCAGGCAAGAGTTCTGACAGAAACCTTTCCCACACTCTGAACA